CATCTCCCCAAAAGTAAAGTGCGTGCGTGCGTGTGAAGTTTATGTCAAGTGTCATGACTGATTATATCGTAGGAGGAAGGAAGGCGAAATGGTTATTTCGACGAAATATTAAACTTAAATACGCAAATAAGATTTTAGTCATTTCAGTAAAAAATATGTGCGGTGAGATAAGCTGCAGTGACACTGTTAATCACATCTAATGTAATCAGTAAAAATCAGGAAATTTGTTCGGTCTTGCTTGAAAATGCAAATCTTGAGTTGAATTGGCCCAACATAAGAGGTTTAAAACATAAAATAATATATTTGAACGAGGAAACACAGAAATTTACACTATATACCTACAACTTGTATAGAAATGATAAGCTGAATAAATAATTTTAAAAAATGATTTCTACGGAATTACGGCATTTAAGCAATAAGCTAAATCATCTTCGTCTGTGGCTTAGAACCCTGACAAAGTGTCGAGCCGGTGATATCATAAAAAACCGTTGATTGATGCATTTATCTGGCTTTACCAACAACCATATTGATTGATGGAAGTCAATTTAAAAAGCAAATGGACAATAAATGTTCAAATATTTCAACTCACCCCTTTTCAAAGGAAAAGGAAACTCCCCCCTCCCCAATTGCTTGAGCTGAACAAAATGATCTACCTTGGAAATTAGCGTATAGAGACCCAGCCGGTTAGACATGAACCTCGATACTTATGACGTTGCTACTGAAACATTTAAGTAGATATAAACCAATAGAAATATGTTTCTCTTTAGCACAAAGGTAACGTGCATGAAGTAAAGGGAAAACAAAACGATAGACTGACATTTGCAAACAAATTTTGAAAACTACCAGCAAATCTTAATCAGGAAATGGACCATAAGGGAAGAATAGATTTAAAATATCGGAAAAGGAGATTTTGCGCAAAGTTGTTTGTAATTTCAAAACTAAAGACAAGCAAATGCGTTTCCCCTCTTCAACGATAACTCATTACTGAATAAGCATACCTTTCAAAGAATATTGGAACTCCTCTGAATAAAGAATTTGCTTGAACGACTAGCACCACCTAACACTTCAATTCTTACAAGCTATTTAAACTAAATAGCAACCACTATGTCAAATTGTAGAATGGATTTGTAAACAAGTGTTATGACCCAAAATGGCATATCGCTCAGGTGTTGAAAAATCATGGAGGGTCGGTTAAATGAATCTCTTTATCAGAGTATGGGTGAAATATATGTGATTTCAATTATCTTTAATCCCTACCTGACTTCGTAAGTTGAGGATAGCGTATTCAATTTTGAGAGTGGATTTTTGCACTGAATGCATGTCTCCCTAGAAAAGCTGGCTTGTTTATAACCGTGCATCTCCAGAAACCAGTCAAGTTCGTTTAATAATAGCAGAAGGATTCAAATTTCTGACAATTAGCAGCGATGATGCCTATTCTATACCCAGTAGTAAAAGAACAAATTGATTCAACCTCGACTTACACAACAAACAACTCAATATCACATGGTTCCGGAATAATCTCGATTCACGACCTAAGAGCATTCGAAAAGTAAGATTTGAATTTGACCCTAAAATATCCTAAATGCTGTAATCAATAAATTTAGAACATCGGAGAGGCTGAAACAGAAAGCGCATTGTGTCCACTAGGGCGTTAAAGACAAATCTAGATGTGAAGATATGTTAAGAAAGGAAATTGATGCAAGTACATGTCGTTAAGAAACCTATTCTTCCACTATGCATTCTAAAAAACTGGAGAAGAAAAACCAGCGCGTTGACCACAAAATTTTCGATAGCCTTCGGTTTGCGAAAGAATACTTCCGCTCGTAAGGCTGGTCTTGTGGGGGGAACTCTCACCTTACCAGCCCCGTCTCATTAACCAAAACTATGTGCGTGAGTACCTACCCACATAACAAGAAACGCATCGATGAATATCGATCTCATGAGCCCTGAGTTTACAGGCATGCTCATTGGCCACTGCACCACCGCACATCTATAAATGAGCCGTTACCTCAACTACTATATTTCTCGCGAGGACATCGAGTACCACGTGACACACTGAGTCAAACAAATACATATGTGGAAAAAATACTGTTTCTGAAGAAGTCAATATCATCAGGATACTTCAATGAGTACTTGGGGAAAAATTATTACCTAAAAAGGTCTTTTATCAAGGACTATTCAACCCAATGAAAAGGTTCCATAAAATCAATCACAAAATCTAAAGACATTGTTGAGTATCAGCCGAAACAGTATCTAAAATGAAATTATTTGTGTGAACGCATGGTGGCAACGATTTGTGCAACTGAAAATGAAATGAGAAGGCAGTGACCAACTGATATACCTTTGCTTAACAGATAAAAAGTACACATGAGACTTAAATGAAGGTGGATAGCCCCAATTAATGGACTTTTACTTCTACTATGCCTTTGTCAACCCCCCTCAAGCTTTGCACTCTTATTCCCGCTGTTTTAGATGATTTGCCACGAATACAAGTTGTATAAGTGGTTTTTTACCTCAACAAAGTTGAAAATCAACAATTTCGACTCACCTAGACTGAAATTCCTTTGTGCAGAGTGAATGTGTAATATTTTCGATAGAATCGCAAAGGCAATGAGTGTAGTCGTAAGTGGGGTAGATGCACCACGTCTCTCCGGTTCGGTGATGTGGAACCATTTTGATCCGGTAAGCCACAGGGTCCTGCTTGCCATCCTCAAGAGTCAACTTCATTCGAAGGGTGGCAGAACCCTCTTCCAACTTAAACAAAAAGCCAAAAATTTCGATGATCGTTACTTCAACAGAACATGAAGCATGAGTGCTTGATCCCACAACGCCAGTGATCAATGGGTTTCAAGATAGAAAAGGTAGTGTCATCAGCACAGCAATCTAGAGAATATTACTTACCTATTGACCAGTTTTCCAATAAATAAAAAGGGGATGGAATAGAATGGGACGGCTGGAATAACTACACTTCGAATGAAAATGTATAACCGCTCCACCGCAGGATAATGCACATATTACAAGAGATCTGATCTACCCAAATATGATGAAAAATACTTCTTGATCGTTAAACTATACAGATCCATATGATTGAGAAAAAACACAAGAGCACCTCTGACGACAAAATTGTACTACTCCTATTCTTATTAATCACAATTAATCGGCGTTGGGTGGTTGACTATCCGCCGATGATAACCGATTTCGTCATATTTGTCCTAAGACTAGTAATGTTCGCTCGGACGCATATGTTCAAAAATTTTTTGGAGAAATAAACCACGAAATCAAATTCTATAGACCCTATTCACCATCATTTTCATTCCAGCAATCTATCAATAACAAGACTATTCGCAATACAATGTGCATATGTAAACTTAAAACAACATCTAAAACAACTAGAACTCGTCCTTAACTGATGAAACAATAGTCAATTACTAGAAAGAAATAAAAACTAGTTCTAATGGCACAAAAGCTGAAATAAAAATTGAAAAATGACATTAGCCAGCTAAATTTAAAAAGCTGACTAAAAGGGACCACTGTCTAAACTGCCCAAGTGGAACAAAACGGCATAAAAGTATTTATCAGCTTACTTTGCCATTTTTCATGTCGATAAAGAGGTTTCTCGATTCCTCGATGGGTCTATCACGCCACGGCGAAGGTGGTGGATTGAAACCCTTTATTTCCTCTGGGCCCTGATGGCAAACGTAACACAAATTAAGATCGATTAACTTCAAAGCCCACTCATAGAGCTGCTGGAAGTTGTCTGAAGCATAGGTGACCTTATAAGGTTCGAATCCCAACCATCGAACCATATCGAGAATTGCATCAAAGAATCTTGCTTCCTCAGCCTCGGGATTAGTATCATCATATCTCAAATAGCAGATACCACCGGTTTTCTAATAAAATAAAGTAATGATTGTTTCTTTATTTTACTTTCGCGTAACCAAAGTTGAAATTGATGGCCTTGGCATGGCCAATGTGAAGGATTCCGTTTGGTTCGGGAGGGAAACGGGTCACGACTTTTCCACCCGTGGTGGCTAGATGTTCCTTCAAAAGGGTATGGGTGTGATTGGTTACAACATAGCCATCAGTTTTATAATTTTCACCAGGCTTATGAAATCTGGCCGCTTCGCCAACAATAACACCGTTTGTTTCTTCAGTCATCTCAAAAGAGTGAAAACGCGCACGATCACAAGATTTACAAATCCCTGATTGGATAGGAGTATGTTCGGCGGGGCTTTGTGATACGAACAAATAAATGCCAGTTGAATTCGAATATGAACGGATTATATCTGGGAGACAAACTATGTCATACTTTTTTATTTTATTTTATATTATTTGGTTTGATCTTGTTACATAATGAGCTCTAATTTGATTTGAATAAACTTATTTTATATTTGTTACTTGAAGTAGTGCTAATCAGAAGAAATATTAATTTTACTTTAATTAAAATTGTAATTAACTTATTTGAGAAATGAAAATGGAACTTGTGATAGATAAATGAACCTCATCTTTCATTCCCAATGCCATGAAGATTCAGTTTATTTTTAAACATGATTTAGTGCTCTTGGAAAACGGCTTTTTAGTGCTGGACCACCTCCACAATTAAAATATATAATAAAGAGAAACGAATAAGTAGACAAAATGAATAATTTAACTTCATTTTAATCATCATTGATGATCGGATAACCAAACGACTGTAGTGATTTTGTTATCTATTGCAATTCCTTTAACTCTGCTTTTGGATTTATTCACTGTTTTACGTTACCATTTATATGGGATTTTCATTACTGCTCACATTTTGTCCTAATTTCTAATAATATCTTGATTTTTAACTAGATTATCTAAATCTATATCTAAAATGTTGTTGTGTCTATCGAACATAATTACCTTAAATGTTTAACCCTATATACATTTCAGATTATGGGGAACTTGCCATGCTCTAATATTTAGGCTTCTATCGAGTGTTCCAACTAACTCCAAGACAACTTCCAAAAGATTTAGGTCCTCTGACATTCTTTGTTTTGTCCTTACATTGTTCTTTACCTAATTTTCTTTGAATGACTCGAAATGCCTACTTACTGAATCACTTTGTAAAATACTGTCATTTTTTCGGACTCTGTCATAAGTACTCTCAGAAAACTTGATCGACGCACTGCTTAACTAATATATTGTTTTGTTTGGTAAATTTGCGAATTAGTTTGCAGGATAATAGTACTAAAGTTCACATATAATGAGGGCTGATAAAAAATCTTACGTCACTAAGACACACTGCCTTGGCCGTAACCACAGTCCCAACTAGGAGCTATAAAGTGAGAGTTGAGAACGTTAATTAATTATAGTCACGATCAAATATGTGACAACAAGCTTTCAAAGGTTTTTTAAAGTTACCAACATATTTCCTTGATGAAACAGTTAGCAATCCGACTTGGAATGAACATCGTGAACATGAGCATTGGTCTTAAAGAGCACACGCTCTTGCTTTATTTCTATCAACTGTGACGAGTAACTAATAGCGAGCGAAATCGCAGTCTACTTGTTATGCCGTGGGAGCCTTTCTTAATAACTAAATCATTCTTCATCCCCGTACTCCCAAGCCCTAATCAAACTTTATTTCCACCGTTATTCTCTCTTAATTGTCATATAATCCACTTATTTATTGCTTACTTCCCAATTTCATCATTGAATCCTAATTCCACCATTTTGTGCGTGATCCACATCTTCAACATTGGCTTAGACGCAGTCGATATGTCGCGCTAATAGCAACTACTCAACTGATCTACCTATGGTACTATCTAGTAATTATCGTCAAACCAACTTGTGCTGCACATCACACAAGCTCTGACCAACTTTCTATTGCTTTAGTCATAACCACCTGTAAATCAATTTCATATATTTGAACTTACTACTTTCATCACATTACAAAATGGACAATACCCCCTGAAACATAGTTCATTAGCAGTGATCCAGAAAATGTGAAATGAAATGCGTGAGCCTTAAGGATTCTGCAAGGTGTGATTTTCGAGTAAAGTGGGAGAACGGGGCCGGAACAGAAAGAGCTAGAAGTAACACGGCTGACTCAAAAATAAAGATTAGATCCCAACAGATCATCCGCTCTAAGGACACATCACAGGTATTTAAGGTTTACAGGGCGCTTAAATGCCCGCATTTATTCATCATAAGAAATTGGAACAAAAGATCATTCTTTCCTCACTGCCAATAACTAACAGACATCATGAAATTTATTTCCCCTTGGTCATCTCTTGACTACACTTGTGGGCCAAGTAGAATCTTTATCCATAACTACCCTCTGAGGAATGGGGTGTGCGATAGACTTACCTCCTCGTGGTGCACCCTGGGCAACGTATATTCATACGGCAAAAAAATCTATCAATGGACAGTTGACTTCAAACTGCCATGATCCCACTGTATGTCATATTCGACTACTTCCACAGTACTCACCTCGCCTTTTTTCTACCTTTATGCCTGTCTCTTTTACATCTTTGAAGAACTCTTCTGTTCCCCCCTCCCCTCTTGACTATTTTTCCACTTTGATGTTCCTTACCCTCTGTGAAGCCTGAAGTCAACTAAAGGGCTAATGATAACTATCAGAACGCCTGCCATTTAATATAAATAAATCCTCTGAGGAATTGATGTTGACTTTATTGAAACACGACACTTCCTTATTTTAGCCGCTCCAAAAGAGTCAAATAACCCATTTTCCATTTCGAGGCTCATAACTATATAAAATATCTAGAAACAAGCGCCAAGCAAGTGATGGAAACAAATTTAGCAAGAAGAATGGAACGCTGCGATTGGGAAGCATAAAACGGGATCATAGGCAAATGATTCACAAGATAATAATACAATCACAACTTGGTGAAACAAAGGAAAATAATGAGTACCAAACTTTATAAATATCTAATCAAAACAGCGAATAAGATTTAATTTTAT